CTTTTTAAAAAAAAATTTATGCGATTGAGTCAATAAAAATTGAATTAAGGAACACTACGTTTCAATTGATAAAAATTTTAACACATCCTCATTCAATTTTTTTTTTTTTTTTTAATTTATATATTTGTCAAATATAACTACAGAATGATTTTCCATAGGGACTTTTCTATGTGCATCATACACGAAAACAAATCCTAGCCATTAGATCAACAAATTGATTAGTGTTGAGTAAACCGAATGTAAAAAATGATGTAACCTTCTCGTAAAAACAAAGTATAAATTATCGGGTTGGGCTTCTATGGAGAGTGTTGTTTTGACTTGTAGAGTCCATCAAGAGCACCGTTTCGATAATTTGAAAATCATTCATTTTGTGAAATTTTTCGTGTGTATCATTCACACAAAAATTAAGCCAATCAAGTAATCGTAATTTGTTCAATTTCAGCTTGTCACAAAATAAATAGATAGTATATTTTCAAAAACAAACACTGTCAATTTTTTTGAAGACAAATGTTATAAATTGAACATATTATGATTATCAAATCAACTTTATACTTTTATATAGATGATATACATAAATACCTTATAAAATGACTAGTTCATAACAACAAAAAATAGGAAGCAATACTCTCAAGTAGTGAGTCTCACGGACCTAGTCAATACTCTCAAGTCTAAGGACCTAGTCTAGAGGAAGCAAGGGCCTAAATTATATTGACTATTGCTGAGATTTGAAAATAATAATAATAAATTTTACAAGTTTAACATAATTACACATTAATTTTTTTTTTAATAAGGTTAAAACAAACGTATTTAATGCATTTGGATATATATAGAATCAAAAATAAAATATACTTTTTAATATAAAATATATGACATCATCATTTGTTTTTCTTTGTATTTATACTACTAATAATATAATTGAAGGTAACACAGCAAAATAAAATATCATGAAAATTTAACTCTTAGAAGTGCACGATGTTAATTATGTTGAACAAGTAAGGCTCTTATTTTTTAATATTTTTTAATAGATCTTGAAAGAGATTATTGTAATTTATCGAAAAATAAAATAATTTTTGAAAACGTACTACTGATTATGATCCTACTGATTATAGCATATAGCTTTTTGGAAGTTAGAAATCAGCTTATTCTTTGAGTGGGGCAGGAGATGCTTAATTTATAAGTCAGAAATCAACTTTTGTTCATAGCTATAAGCTATAAGCTGTTTAGACATAAGCTATAAGCACTTTCCCACAACTCTACCAAACAGGACCGTAATTATGTTGAACAAATAAGGCCCTTATTTTTTAATATTTTTTAATAGATCTTGAAAGAGATTATTGTAATTTATCGAAAAATAAAATAATTTTTGAAAACGTACTACTGATTATGATCCTACTGATTATAGCTTATAGCTTTTTGGAAGTCAGAAATCAGCTTATTCTTTGAGTGGGGCAGGAGATGCTTAATTTATAAGTCAGAAATCAACTTATGTTCATAACTATAAGCTATAAGCTGTTTAGGCATAAGCTATAAACACTTTCCCACAACTCTACCAAACAGGACCGTAATTATGTTGAACAAATAAGGCTCTTATTTTTTAATATTTTTTAATAGATCTTGAAAGAGATTATTGTAATTTATCAAAAAATAAAATAATTTTTGAAAACGTACTACTGATTATGATCCTAATTACCACATAAACTTACCATATTAGTTAATATGATCTTTAAAAAATAATAAATAAATAAATAAATAAAGGCAAATTACGTAGACACCTCCCTTGGATATTACCAAAATTACACTCAACCCCCACTAGTATAGAAAAAAGACACATATCTCCCTAATGAGTCTTAAAAAGAATATGTAAGGAGATAAAACTACAATTGTAAAATAGATAAAAATAAAAATAAAAATAAAAAATCAAAGAAAAAAATAACAAAAAATCGAAGGAAACAAAAAATAAAAATAAGCTACTCTTCCCCACCTCCTCCACAATTAGCCGCCACCACCAAAAACTACAAACCCTTCTACCACTACTATTGCTACTATCACCACCACCATCATCACCATCAACAAACAACCCCCACTATCGCAGCACCACCCCATTCAAAAGCCCCTCATCAGCAAAATCCCAATACTATCGCCATTGTTTTGTCCACCACCAACGCCACTATTATTGAAATGCCAACACCAACATCCCTCCGACAACCACCATCACTCACTTCACCATTACTTCACTACCCACCCAATACCTCCGCTACAACTGCCAAATCACACCACTACATAGTCGCTCTTTGCAGTGCCACTACTCCTGTCCTTTGTTTTTCTTAAAAATGTCACTACTCTGATACTCGTCTCTAACAAAATACAAAAAAAAAAAAGGAAAAAAAAAAAGAAAAAAAGAAAGAAAACCTAGTACGATAAAGAGAAAGGCAGCGACAGTGTCAGATTATAACCTGATGAGGCGGCATTGTTGTTGGTCAGACTAACAAGGGGTTATGATTTTACACTGCAGTAGAATCGAATGATGGTAACAATTCCGATAATGGAAGGTTGTGTTAGCTAGTGTTAGTTTGTGTTGATGTAGAAACTTTTGTTGGTTTTGAGGGGCAAGAAGTGATAATTGAGAGGTAAAGTAGGGGTTGACATCAGCACGTTAGCCCGCCCAGCCCGTCTGGCCCAACCCTATTTTACTAGGGTTTGGGAATGTTGTTTTAGCCCATAGGGCCGAGCTAGGCCAATATTTTCAACCTAAAATATTAATGGGTTAGGCTTGGGATTTATACTTTCAACCCAGCCTGGCCCACCTCAACCCAGCTCGATCCGTTATTAAATTAATTTTACATTAAAATATATATTTTTTGTTGGGATCTAAATTTTATCTTTGTTGATTTTATTGAAACTCACATTTGTGGTGATATGTGATTAAATTTATTTAAGAAATCATTCAATTTATATACAAAATCTTTGTATTTAAGGTAAATTACAAATACACCTCTTGAGGTTTACTTAAAATATGATTTGCCCCCTGTAGTTTTGGAAACTACATCTTGTCTCTTGAAGTTTTTAATTTCTTAACAAATGATCCCTTTATTAATAAATCATCAAGTCAATTAATAGTTTTAAATGATGTCAGAAATTTATTTCAATTAATAATTCAGATAATTTTATTATTGTATTGGAGAGCAATTAGGAATTTCATTTTTTAAGTTAATTTTGCTAAACAATTTTTTTTGAAAATGGTGCATTTGTAATTTTTCAAATCATAGGAGACAATGTATATTTTAAGCAAATCTCAAGAGGTGTATTTGTAATTTACCCTTATATTTATAATGATTTCAATATATTTATTTAACAAATATAATATGTGATTGATTTTAATTATGCGAATTTTTAATTTTTTTTTTTTTATATATAAACCGATAAGTATGTTTGAAATTTATAATTATTTTTTAAGTTAGATTTGTACAAACATAAAAATCCAATATTAAGAAATTAAGACTGGACCAGATTTAGACCGACACAAAATTCTTTATTATGAAATGTCAGGCTCGGCGACATTTGTCCATCCCTAGGTAAAGAGGAGAAGGCGTGGTCCAGTGACACCGACACCAACAAAGCAAGCCACAAAAAACATATGGGGAATAGAAAAGTTTGGGTGATAAGAGTTATTGGTTGGGCCGACCATTTTTTTTTTTTTATCCTTTTAATTGTTTAAAAATTGTTGGAAAATAAAGAAGAGCAAAGTTGGTATTTTTATTTAAAATATGACAACATCAGCAAATTTCATCTCCCTCACTAACGGTTGATTAACAATTTGGGTCTAAGTTTAGCACGATTAAGTTTTCAAGGGAGTTCGGTGTAATTTTCTCATACTAGTGGTACTGAGTAATTTTGGTAATATCCAATGAAGGTTTGTGTAATTTGTCCAAAATAAAAATGGGATCAACCTGCCATTAGATTTAATTTTACTATGCATTCCTACCAAAGTTTTGATCAAATAACACCAAAATCACTTTGAGAATGTGAAAACAATTTTTCTACTTGCATAAAATCAATCATAAAATCGGATATAACTCTTTAAGTGTGATACTCTCACAAAATAATGAAACTTAGCTTACATAAAAAAATAAAAATTAAAAATTATTGCCAAGAAATTGCCTACAAGTGCATGATGATTAATTCAAAGGGTTAAATAAATTTTCAATTTTTTGAGGAGTAGTTCCAGCACATGAAACCACCAAAAAGAGAATCCAATCGATACAACTGCGTCCGATAACCTGTATTCCTTTATCCTGAAAGTTTTCCTCAACCCATCTGCCAAACACTGTTTTCGATTGGGCGATCCAAAAGTTTGAAGAAGGAATTTTTATTATTATTATTATTATTATTATTATTAACTTTCAGTTCACAATAGAGAAGGAAAAGAAAGAAAATAAAGAAAAGGAAAAAGGGCAAAAGGACAAAAGAATTACCCTGTTTGAAAAGTCTATTTTAATTGACTATTTGACAATAATCCTACTTGAAAAGTTAGCTATTTTAATTAATTATTTGACATTTTGACTATTTTAAACTAACTAAAATAGTTGTGTTTTGAAAGATAATTAATTTTTTTTATAATTAATTTGATGATTGTGAAATAAAAAAATAAAATAATTATGGGTTAAATGTGATATTTTATCTTATTAACTATTTTAACATATTTTATTTTTATTGACTCTTTTAACCAAAAAAACAACTTGCAAAACAGGTTATGAGAAATCATGGCTCAAAACAAGCTCAATCATAAGAAAAATGACATCAAATAAAAGTCTCATTGAGACAACAATACTTTCAGCTCAAGCAACATAGCAATACACACTTTCATATAATAAAAAAATAAAAACTAAAATAAAAAGAGATAAAATGATTACTTCACTTATGTAACACATTTTGACCCATGAGGGTAAAATTATAATTTCACCATTGGCTAAAAACCAACTTTCCAAATGAAAAAAAAGACAAAAAAACGAACTTTTGACTTTTGCTACAAATCAAAAAAAAGTGACTTTTAGCCAACTTCCCAAAATAGCCCACAATATATAAGGTTGATATTGGGTGGACAATAAGCCTCTCAATACTGCGTGATTAGCAATGGTAACCAAATAGTACAGATAATACTCTCTCCCCACTCAAAACCATCTATAAGGTGAAAACAAAAGCTACTTGTACGAGTAAGATTGGAGGACTTATTCATAATTGAGTCGACACGACTATGAGTCATTCCTCTGCCTCCGCATTCGTGCTCCCCACGACATATTTCCACGAGCATCCTTGTTCATGCTTCTTCTCTTCAGCTCTGATAGTTGTGCCTGCCATCGCGTCTTCCACTCGCTTCTTTCTTCCATTTGCTGGTTCTGGATAAAAGCCCAAATCAATAGAAGGTGCTATACAAGAAAATGTGTCTAAAACAAGGGCACTTCTACAAACACAACTCCTCAAGGAAAAGGCAAATAAAATAGAGCAATTGGATGCAAAAATTCACTCATTTCCAGACCCGAAAAAACAAATGTCCATTCATGAATCATCAAAAGAAAGTCATGTCACCAAAACATGATAGCGAAAACAAAATACCAATTAGTCTCCTAAATAAATGATATCAAATAACAAGGTTATGACTTATGACAACCAATATTCCCAAAAACATGACATTGAAGATGAAAAAACATACAAAAGGCCTGGTCTCTACATGAGAAAAGATTCGCAATTGCATGATTCTTTATGCATTCTATACTAGGAAGAATTGCAGGAAAATGTTCAATTACCCTTTTTCCTATTTATTTCTCAGGACAATCAAGACAATTCATGTGAATAAATAAATAAAAGGAAAAATCCTGGCTACCACCAAAATTCATGAGCTAAAAAAATCATTAGTTCTTCCAAATCAACCCACAAATCAATCATCTCTTCTTTTTTCTATTTTTTTTCATTTTTGATGGGGGTAAGGTTAGCCATCACCATATGTGCATGCAAGGATCATACACACACAAAAAGACATGTTAAACCCCAAAAAAAAATAAAAAAGAAATAAAAAGAAATAAATTCAGAAGTCATGTACAACAGTGAAGCTCAATTTGTTCTATAAACACTGAAATTTGTATCAACTAAATGATAATTTGAGTAATACAAATTGTGGAAACCAAATAACAAATTACCACCTCAAGTGTTCAAGCCGCACTCATGTTATACAAACTAGAAAATTTTGCAAGCTCTTCCTACTCACATGCGGCATACAGTAATACAATTTGGGCTAATTTCACTAAACTCCCTTGTGATTAATCTCCTGTCATTTGGAAATAGTTGCACAACTACTTTGCAATTTGTCAACTAAAGTGCACCATCAAGCAAGCCATTACCAACAAGTGTAAAGCATATACTAACAATAAGGGAGTTACATACTCATTTTTAATTATCAACGTACTCATTTTTAATTATCAACGATATACTACACATGAAGTAAAACATGGGGATTAAAATTGAATTTTATTGTGCCGGACGGGTACATTTTAGACTTCCTTTGAAAATTGACTATTCTAGTTTTTTACGAAAAACATGCAAAAATAAATAAAAAATAAATAATGTGATTGGATGTTTTAGCCGAAAAGCCAACATGCCAAACATGTCTACAAGTTATGCACTTGCTTTAAATGAAAGGAGTTATGTGCACGCAAGGCAAACATACATAAACAAAGAGAATGTGAAATTTGCCCGTACTACTTTAAATTAATATGATAGAAACAACTCAGCTAATGGACTCACATAAATAACAATAATAAAAACTGACATATAAATTAAAAAAAAATTCTTGTTAAATAGATGTGACATGCAATAATATAATAAAAATTAAACCACAACTACATGCCACATGACGAATCATAACTAGATTTTTTTATAAGTTATCAATAACTAAATTTTTTCACGAGTTTGTTACTCTATTAATAAAAAGGATTTGGCTTGACTGGAGCAGACAGGTAAAGATTTTTTTAGTGATGTTTGGGGAAGTCAGTAAAAATGTGACTTTTTTAAAAAAAAATTCTAAAAAAGTTAGCTTTTTTTGGAGCTTTTTTGTGTAAAAAATTAAAAAGCTCAAAACTGATTTTTTACTAACTTTCCAAATTGCCCCCTAAAAAGTTAAAAAGCTAATCACTAAACGGCGTTTTGTTACTGGTAAGAGTTCATGACTAGTTAACTTTTTTTCAAAGATTCTTATCGCTAATAATCTTCCGTTTGATGACTCTGGAAAAAAAAACTTCCGTGAATAAGAAATCAAGAAGTCATCCCTAATAAAAATGCTAATTTATAACTTTCAATAGTTTGTATATTAAAAAATAAAAATAAAAAACATTCAGCAAACTACAAAGCAAAACCCAAAAAAAAATTAAAATTAAAATTAAATAAATAAAAAAGAAATATAAAATACCTGATGGGAGTGGTAACGCCTCCTAGCAGAGAAAGCGAGGTGAAGCCCCTTCGCCATGTCGCTGTCATACAGAGCCCTCCGCCTCGGATCCGAAAGAGTCTCGTACGCCTCTTGAACCCGTATGAACCTTCGGGTATAGTCTTCGACCCGATCCGGAGGCGACACGTCCGGGTGGTACTTCCGGGCAAGCTGCTTGTACGCCTGCTTTATCTCCACCAGCGTTCCTGTCTCTGAGACTCCCAGAAGCTCGTAGAAGCTCACCGTATCGGCCCCCATCGAAGCCACGGAGCCATCGTTGAAAGAGGCTTTGGTTCGGAATGGTCGGGTTCGGATTGAGACCCGGGCTTTGGGAAGGCGGGTGGTGAATGAGAAGCGGAGAAACGGGTCGGACATGGAGGTCCGGGTTGTGGCGGTGGCAGTGGCGGTGAGAGGGAAACGCGGGTGGCTTCTTTGTATCACTTTAGAACACATTTCTTTTTTCTCTCTCTAAAACACCACTCTCTCTCTCCCTATGTCTATATGTATAAGTTTAACGGACATTTTTAATGGTCAAAAGAGATGTTTGCGAGTATTTTTTTTTTTTTAATTTGTTTTGGTTGGGATAGATGATTGGCATTTTTCTATTCAACAATGTTACAGACTCTTATAAAACACAATTTTTATAATTTTTATAATTTCTATTAATCTGTAATTAGTTTAAGAAGAAAAAAAAATACATGATTGGTCCATATTATTTGAAAAATCAACAATGGTAGGTATCATGAAAATAATCATTAAAATTTTATGATTCTTGAATTACACTTAGAATAAAACACTACACACTAATCAAAGTAATCAAAGAATCATAAATCTTTCATAATTATTTTCATAAAAAAAATTTCATAATTTCTAACTTTTCTCTTTAAGAATTGTAAGAATCCTCAACTTTGATAGTCCCAAGCATTTTTATTTTCTAAAACACACTGGCGTGTTTGATTGAGGGGATTGGAGCCTACCTTAAGCAAGGAGAGAGAGAGAAACCCGAAGTTTCGACTTCAACAAAAACACGATCCGCTTTGATGGATTGAAAGCCCTTGGCGCGCTCTACAACCTTCTTCTGGAAACCTAGGTGAGAAGATGCTTTTAGATGAGTAGATCTAGCAATCTAAATGGGAAAAAGTTGGGTTTAGAGAGAGATGAGAGAGGCTTACGGTTTGAGAGGAAATGGGAGGAGAAAATCGTGAGAGAGAAGAGTGTTGGGTCTATTTATAGTAGTAGAAAAGTATCCCTAAGGTCAATGCAAAGAATAATTCCCTAAACCCCCAAAAGTAGGGTCGATTCGGACCCAAAAATTCTGAAAATAACACACAAGGGTCGACCCTTTGGGCAAGGGGGTCGACCCTTTAGGCAGAAAAGACAATCTGGCAAAAGCAAGGAGGGTTGACCCTTAGACAAGAGGGGATCAACCCTATTTTCTAGCAACCAACATAAAGCAAATGCCCCATAAGAGGGTCGACCCTTCTAGACTGGTGTCGACCCTATAGAAAACCAGTAGAGGCACTAAGATTTCAAACATGTATAACTCTCTCGTTCGAACCCCGTTTTAGGTCGTTCTTGTGTCCAAATCGAAGCCCCAAAAACAAGCTTTCCAATGGTTCTAGCCTCACATCCAAATTCAAAGTATGGAAATAGAAAATGGGCAAAAGAGTGAAGGCTGGTCAAAAACAAAAATTCAAATTTGGGCTTTTGATCTAATCTTGCCTAAACACTTTGTTAAGGCTTCAATCAAGGTTCCAAATATCACCCAAGAATCCTCAATTATAAGATTTAAAGTTCACTAGCCAACCCATCAATACCAATCTGATATGAATTAGAATCCGAGTCATTACATTATCATTAATATCTTTATGCATAATATAAAACACAAGTCTAGAACCAATCATTTTGCTGCAAGATCTATGAGCAAAAACCCCGCAAGTATGCACATTATCCATCTTCATAATAAAAAAAATACTGGAATTCATCAACACCCTTCCATGCACAAACCATTTACAACCCGTAGACGACTTCATCATACATTCAGCGGTTACTCTTGTTGCATCATTCTTCAAATAATTCACTGTAAAACCACACTGAACCGCATACTTAGCCAATGCAATGCGGAACCCCGACACTCCACCTTTAAATTCTTGACCAACACTATGTATAATCCCCTTCCAACTAGCAGACAACAAAACTCTCTCTGGTTCTGGATAAAAACTACGCAACAAACCACCAACATCATCACAATCATTCACAAAAGAACTCTCACAAGTTACAGAATCAATCCTACAAGAATTACCATCATCAACCTCCACAACTCTCTTATCCCCCACAATAACATCAACAACATGACAACACTACCACCTACCATTGACAGCATATTCTCCAAATCATCATCACATTCAATAATACAATTAGAATATCCAGGAACAGAGAAAAACAAACAAAAGTTACCAACACTCAACTCCTTGAACTTCGCACATATTTTCTCAACAACTTCATCATAACTACATCCGTCACTAATCTTAATAGCAGCACAACAATTACTGTATTTGCACATCTACGAGCAACAACCCCACAAGTATGCACATTATCCAACTTCATTATAAAAAAAACACCAGAATCCATCAACACCCTTCCATGCACAAACCATTTACAACCCGTAGACGACTTCATCATACATTCAGCGGTTACTCTTGTTGCATCATTCTTCAAATAATTCACTGCAAAACCACACTGAACCGCATACTTAGCCAATGCAATGCGGAACCCCGACACTCCACCTTCAAATTCTTGACCAACACTATGTATACTCCCCTTCCAACTAGCAGACAACAAAACTCTCTCTGGTTCTGGATAAAAACTACGCAACAAACCACCAACATCATCACAATCATTCACAAAAGAACTCTCACAAGTTACAGAATCAATCCTACAAGAATTACCATCATCAACCTCCACAACTCTCTTATCCCCCACAATAACATCAACAACATGACAACCACTACCACCTACCATTGACAGCATATTCCCCAAATCATCATCACATTCAACAATACAATTAGAATATCCAGGAACAGAGAAAAACAAACAAAAGTTACCAACACTCAACTCCTTGAACTTCGCACATATTTTCTCAACAACTTCATCATAACTACATCCGTCACTAATCTTAATAGCAGCACAACAATTACTGTATTTGCACATTAACATGAAATACCGCTCCATACTACAAAATCAGAAACCAACAAACAATTGTTCACATATTCCAAACTGCAAAATTATGCAGTTACAACATATCAATAACAACAGTACACAATTTACAATTCCAAAACTGTAAAATTATACACTTACGACATATCAATATCAAAACACCAGAATTCACAATTCCAAAAATACAACTTCAAAACACATTACACTATACGACAAACAAAATCAACAAAAACAAAATCAAACAAACAAAATTCGCCAAACACAAACCACATATCACGCAAATTTGCTTATATATATACATACATATATATCGACAAATACAAACCACATACACACACAGACATATATATATATATACATATATATGTATATCTATGTATCGACAGATACATACATACACATACATATATCTATCACCAGAGAGAGAGAGAGAGAGAGAGACAACGTACGAAGATATCGCCTGTACACAGAGATTCAAATCGCACAACCAGATCCACCTCACAGCACAATGAGATCGACCACACAGCACAATGAGATCGCCACAACGAAGAGAAATCGAGATCGCGGAGACGAAGATTTGATTTCCTTTTTTTCAACGAAGCAAAAATTTGATTTCTCACGTACATATAGATCTCAAAACAAAGGGTAACACAGTCATTTAAAAATACGAAAATAAAAAACGGGACCTCTGGGTATAAAACTAAAAAAACTGTGGACCTATTAAACTATTAAAAATAAATTGGGATTAGAAGGGAAATAGATCTCCTACATAGGACTACATGGTAATTTTCCCTTTTTTGGATACATCAAGATTAGATGCATCTAAAAATTTAAAATGTTTAACTAAAATAAGAAAAATATATACTAAAAATAAATGAAAACTCATCTAAAAATAATTTTTGAAAAATCAAATCAAATAGATACAAAAATTTTAACACCTTATATTTTAACTTAAAAAAATCAAAATGTCACTTACAAAATCATTTGCCAAACCAATTCTTAGCAACAAATTATTTGAAACTCCTTTGGAAATTAATTATTTATTTGATTTTTTACGAAAAAATATATAAAAAAAAAAAATTAGAGAGAATAATATGATAATTTGTTAATTTTTTTTTTTGACTAATAATTCATCTTTCCAAACTTTTCGACTAAAATTCCATCTTCCCAAATAATAAAATTTTCTGATAAAAAATAAATAAATAAATTTTTTTTAAAAAAGTTGATAATTATTAGCAAATAACTTTTTGGGTAAATTACATTGATACTCATGATTTTTTGTTTAATACAGATCTCTTCATGTCTGAAAAATTGCATTCTTCTTTTTGAGATTTGTAATCTCATTATAAAGTGTCTTTTGAATTGCTGATGTTATATCTTTAAATTTTCTAAATGACCATGTTGTCCATTTTTCTATCATTTTTTTTTCTTATCATCATAACTTAATTCTATAACTTTCCATCATTAAATTTTACCTAAATATATTCTTATTGAGTGATGATATATAAACATAAATTTTATATAAAATTTTCAAACACAATGATATAGCTTAATGGTGACATTTCACTTTAAAACAAAACATTTATAAATATGATTTATATTTACAACAACATTACTATCACATCATTTTTATGATATTTTTTTATATAAATTTTTAAATATGAATAAATTTTTTATTTTTATTTCCACTATCATTTTTCTTTCTCATCTACTCACCCACATTTATTACAATATTATCAAATACTGTCATTCACATTTATTAAAGTATTACTGAATTTTTGTATTTTTTTTTTATATTTGGTGAATTTAAAAAAAAAAAAACCTGGGACTAAAAAGTCTCGTTTGGGGGATATGGGTTGGCTTTTTAACTTTTTTAGCCTAGGGCTAAAAAGTCTCGTTTGGAAGGAGCTTTTTTGGCCTTTTTTTTTAAAAAAACTTTTGTAAAAGAAAAAAGAAAATGATTATGGTTTAGATATAACAACTTGTAGCCTGGGTCTAAAAGACATATTTTGTCTCTTTGTGGCTATTTTAGTCCTAACCCACCCCAACCTAACTTCCCAAATGTACAGGGGCGAAATATCCACTGCTTTCCGTACTCCTTGGACTCCAAGTTTCACGTGACGGCGTCTAACCTGGCAACACAGAGAACGGTGAGCTGCATGGCGGTGGTGTGCTGGATAGACCCTCTGACGATCAAGTCAGATCACTTGAGGAAGAAGAAGGCTGTTAGAGAGAGAGTGTGTTTCATATGGCGCAAATTGCTTACCTCTAACGTTCATCTTCCACCCCTATTTCTAGGCTGGCCATGCAGCCTCAAGATTGTGCACGCACTACCTCTGTTGTCCTTCCCTG